TTGTGTCAAAGTTCTTTATTTTTAAAGTTCTGCCTTAGGGAACAACACCATGCTACATATCAAAACCCAATTGAGGTTACAATGCTCGATGATATACTGGATGCACTCTAAAATACCATATCTGACAAGAATGAAAAGAGAGACAACCTTCAATGATGTTCAGAAAGAGGGAGAGTGACAGAGACAGAGAAGAAGAATAAATTATTCTATGCTGATTTCTGCTAGAATGGCCTCATTAAACAATTTATAACACTGACAAAAGGTCTGTACACAAAGGAACAAAGCCAGGACCAGTCTCAGCTTTATATAAGGGATTTCTAAATCAGACAAACACACAGTTCTAAGGCACGGTTCCCAATACTTGTTACTCTTCAACCCTTTACACAGAGTTCTTGTCCAATGTCCATGTTTTTTCTGATTTCTTACTAACGGTTTACCAATTATACTTTCTGTTTTCTATCATCCCAAATCCAAACCGAAAGACATTAACCAATACAATAAAATCCACCAGTCTGGTTAGTTCTACAGATACAAATTCTGGTTTAGACATTAATCACGATACTCAAGTATATCTATCCTTCTTCCACACATATTCTCACCTCCCTTTACATATTGACCCATCTCAATTTTGAGGAAACACTCAAATTCTAAGGAAGTTTTAGGATCTTTCCCCCAATCCATGATTTGCTTGTTGGCAAGCTGCTTTGGTGGGCAGCAGTATAAGAAATTGTTTGGAATGCCTTGCTAGAACAGATAAAATGGATGTGTAATCAGTGAATTATTATAATCTATTGCAGTAAACAGAAGGACAGGAAGCATTTACTTATGAACTTCCCTCACTCATTTCAGAAGGGAGAAAATTATGTCTTAATAAGGCAAGAAAAAAGGTAGATGAGAAAATACAGTAAAATATTAATACTGTAGTGACAGCAGGGAAGGGTAGGTTTCCCACCACTCTACATTGCTGGGAAAGTTTCTGGCATAAAAGTCAAACTCTCTCACATCATTCTTTGCACAAGGATCAACAGCTGCTTACATCAAAAGGGGCAGAAAGCCACTTAAATACTTTTCTTCAAAGATGAGACATTTCTTTTGAACTGAGCATTACAGAAAGGAGAAAGTAGGGAAAGCTCACTCAAAGAGGTCCTCAAACATGCGCTGTCCCATTGCTATCTACGCTTCCTTTTCTTCTGGTGTCATCTGAGGCACTAGCTCCGGCCGTTGACTCACTTCACTGTAGGAGAACGGATGGCCAGCCACCATGACAATGGGGTCATCTGCTACTTCTTCAAACTCGTCATCCTCCTCTTCATCCTCTTCTCGTTGATGTGCAGCCACAGTTGCTGGACGGGGTGGAGAATCATCATCTGATTCACTGGTCTCACTTTCTGAGTCACTGCCATTGGCAGTGGTTACTGGAGCGGCTGCCCCCACTGAACCAGCCATGGCAGAGGAAGTCTTTTTCTCATGAATGAGCAGTGCTCGCATGACTTCTTCATTATCATCAGGCCCTGCACG